GCATTCCTCCACAACCACCACTCCCCTGTTCAAAAAACCCTTCCTTTTTAACCTTCTTCCCCTCTCTCTCCAGCTCCTCTACCTTACCTCTCAGCTCCTTTATATACGAAACAGCATCCGCAAGGAGAGATGCCTTATCCATCTTCGATACGTTAGGCACCACCGAGCGGAGAGCATAGAAGCGACTGTTGAGTTTCTCCCGCCGCTGCCGCTCTGCTTCAACGTGATTCGCAGGATTGCTATTCTCCGGCGCTGCAGTATTCCCCGGAGTCCTCCCACGCTTACGGCGGCAGATAATCCTTTCCTCTGAGTCTGAATTCTCTGATTCAACGGACGACCAGAGGCCGTTTTTCTGAAGCACAGCGGGGTTGCCAGAGAGAAAAGCTCGCGCTTGATGAACTATAGACCAGTCCTCGGCAACGAGATGGGAGGAGCCGAGTTCGAGGACGCCGTCTGGGGTTGACAAGTAGACGAGGGTCTGGATACCGTGGAGCTGAGCATCGCGGGCGCGGTCGCAGCCGGAGGCGGTCAGGGCGTTGGATCCGGCAAGCCAGATGGGAGCAGCAGAGGCGTAGGCGCGGGCCGGTGATATTGGGTCCTCGGCGGCGAAGGAGCGGGTCAGAGAGATAGCATAGAACCACTCCATGTCGTCAGCGTCTCCGCCGTGGCTTCCGTTGCCTCGGAAATGGCCGTCGCCGACGGAAAAGAGGGTTTTTTCGGGGGAAGCGCGCCAGAATATGGCGTAGGCCCACCGTTCGGGGCGGGAGTTGAGGAGACATTGAAGGCGGTACTGAAGAGTCGAAGGGGTTGAGGAGGAGGAAGAAGGTGAGATCAACTCTTCCATTTGTGAGCGGGTTTAATTGGGAATTAGCAAAATAGAGCGGAAGTGGAAAGTGAGGAAGCTTTGCCGTTTAGCCCTGTTTTTTTTTCTGCTGTTGGTTTTTCCCTTCGAAAAAATAATACTTCCTGTAAAATATTACCTCCGGCGTCTGAGTTGCAGCAATATAAAGGAAAGCAGAGGATAAAACATTTACAACAATTAAAAAAAAAACAATTTTCTGACGATAAGTTGGAGTCATTTCTCATTTATAAAGCTATATTTAAGTACTTGTAGTTTACTTTTAAATAATAATCATAGTGATCTTTTAAGTAATGTTAAGAAATAGTTAAAATGTAAACAAAATTGTAAAAATTAAGTGAACAATAATATTGCTTGAAAATTTGCACCAAACGGATCCCATGACTTTATAATTGTATGGTCCACCTTACTAACACGAATAAGAATATATTTGATTGCTAAAAGTATCTATTTTTCCCGAAATTTTCATTTCTAACTATTACAACATGCCTTTAGAAAGTAATAATATGACAATGGAAAATAAAATTTCATTTAAAAAGACATTTTTAAAATAAAAAATAAAACTCAATTTATAATAGTTTTTTATTGATTGCATAATGTGCCATTGAACCTAAAACTGTTTACCGGAATAGGATGTAAGTGGGCGGAATGCGACAGGGGAGGCGAATCCGTAACTGGATTGGGGCTCTCGCGGGTAGATGTTACGTTTGTATCGTACGGTTAAGAGAATAAAAAAATGCCTTAATCTGAATGCCTCTTTTGCCTCGTCGGACAGGAGTTTTGCCGTTTTGGCTTCCTAACGGGAGTTTAAATTAATTGTTAAATTTTAACAAGTACGTTCGTATTCGGTCAGCACTGAAAATTATCCCTAAATTTAAATGATTTGCGTTTTATAAAATATGGGTTGCACAAATAGCGGTTTTTTCACGTTGTAAATTGAATATCGACTGTCTTTGCAGAAGTTCATTCCTTATTGTAGCTGGGATTTTTGGCTAATCACGGCACAGTACTGGGATTATGCAAAGTATGGTTAAATTTGTTTGAAGTTAAGAAAATAAAAGAAAAGGAATTTGTGAAAGAATAGTTGGACATCAGGATGAGAATATATGTCAAAGAATTTTGAAATAAAGCAATAGGAGTAGCCAATCAACCAAATAGAGGAAATTTTGTAAACATAGAGGATTGAGATTTTGTGATAAATAAGCAATTGGCGACGGTGGGAGAAAGGATAATTCAAATAAATCAAGATGTGTTGAGCAATTTCTCAGCACCGGGTTATAGATTCCAAAGAGAACCTTAATTTTTGTCATCAGAGAGTCCACTTCTCATCGAGTTGAAAAGTGAAGGTCTAAGCTAAACATTGTATTTTTCAATGAGTACCTTGGAGGTAAATTTTTCCACGAAATTCAAAATTTCTCATCTCAATTCTTATGAAGCAAAGACAACGATTGAGCATGTTGCTTACTTTGAGTTTGGCACTTTCGTGCTAGACATCAATAACACTTTGGCATATAAAACGTTATGCATGGCGTTTGAGCAAATTTCACTAGGTGAATTTTTCATCTATTATTAGGGAGAATCATTTTTTTTATTAGAATCAAGAAGTCATCTATTACTCAATTTGCTTGTACATAAAAGCACTTAAAAAATTTTGAAGCCTTATTAAATATGAGGCAAAAAAAATGAGAGTTATTGGAAAAAATCAATATTAGTCTTTGGATAGAAATGTTGGATGTTGAAAGTTAAAGTTAAACTTTGGCGGAGTTACCTAAATTCATTAACAATCATATTAATGTTGAAGAGCATAATAACAAATTCATGGCTTTAAGTTCAAATCGTATTGTTGTGTGTCAAAAGGCCAGTGATATTACAATGATTATTTAGCGTCTTAGCGTTGCATGAAACTCCATCACATACTTTGATATCAGAAGAGAATTAAGCTGAAGGAAACAACTCGAATTTTTATATGAAAAACTCTAAAATAGGGAAAAAATTCACAGGACCTAGCATACTTGAAATAATTCACTATGTAATTATGAGTACATTTGTCAACTCTTCTCCTAAATTATGAAAGATGAAGTTACAAAGTTGTACAATATTAGTTCACCACTAATAGTTGTAATCTATTTCTAATGAATATTGTTATCGATGACATCAACCTACAAGAGCCATAATCAATTATTATGGAGGCAATAATTCGCTGTAAATATTGTAGATTGTGGCTATAGTGCCAACTTATTCTAAGGTTGTAGTTGAAAGTGATGATAGTAGTTGAATATGTGTGTAATAGATAGTTACCTCAAGAGTGTAAGTTGGCCATAGAGGCCGTAGTAGGGAGCTATAAGAGTTGTGGCCACATAGGTCGTAGTAGGTCATATCAACATTAGTGGTAAGCTAAGATAATATCTGTAGGTCATAGAGGTGGTAGATGAGAGCTGTATGAGCTCTGAGTCACGCAGGTTGTGGTTTGTCATATGTGTCGAGCGAGGAGTTGTAATAGCATCCATAGGCCATAAACATCAGATTTTGAAGAGGCATGTGCTATGATAACATTCATAGGCCGTAGAGGCTAGAGTTGGGAGTTGCATGAACTGTGATAGCATCCATAGGTCACAAAAGCTAGAGTTGAGAGCTGCATGAGTTGTGATACTGCTCGTAAGTTGTAGAGGTCGGAGTTTGGAGCTGCATGAACTGTGATAACACTCGTAGGTTGCAAAGGTTAGAGTTGTATGCTACATGAACTATGATTATGTTCGTAGGTCGTAGAAATCAAAGTTGAGAGCTGCATTAGCGGTGATAATGTATGTTGGCTATAGAGACCAAAGTTGGGAGCTACATAAATTATAATAGTATTTGTAGGCTGTGAAGACCATAGTTGGGTGCTACATAAGCTATGATAATAAATGTAGGCTAAAAAGGCTTGAATTGGGAGCTTGATGCCTGAAATTACGGTGAAGCAAGTTGGTCAATCACGCAACTCGATCAAGTAAAATATGAAAATGAGTATGTGTATTGATCCCACGAGTATAGTGTTAAAATATTTCTAACAGACGAAATTCTAGTTTACTGAATTGCTAAGTCTTGTTTGAAGTGATCAAAGTCAAGAGGGGGGGGGGGGGGGGGGGGGGGGGTGGCAATTACGGGTATGCACATTTGCACACAAGCGGGTGCACCAAAGCATGGAGGTACTATGTATGGCAATGTGCTATTCAATTTTGTGTGCATGCACACACATGGGGTCACGCATTTGCACATGCGCTCGATGTTTTTGCATGACAATGGTTGCATGCGCACGCACACGCACAGGGGCACGTGCGTGCAGGTTCGCACGTGTGCACAAAAATGTGGGGCTACTTGTGTGAAATCTCAATTTTTATTATTTTTGCTCCCAATTAGCCTCTTTTCTTTACCCCAGTTTACATAAATCATGTAACCTGCATAACACAAAAAATACCTTTCTCAAGCATAATATCATTGAATAAGAGAAACCACGTGGTACTTAAAGCAATAAAATCACATAAATTTATCTCATATCAAAGTTACTTGAGTTGTGATGACATATGTGGCCCATAGATGTCAGAGTGAAGAGCTTCACGAGCTTTAATAAGATATCTGGGTTGCAAAGGCTGAAGTTGGGAGCCGCGTGAACAATGATGACATTCATAGGCCACAAAGGCTAGAGTTTGAAGTTTCATCTAAGATTCGTAGAATGCAGAGGTGAGGATAGGAGTTGCACAAACTATGTATTACATAGGTTGTATTTGGTCATATAGAACGTAGTGGTGAGTTGCGAGAAGATAGCTTTAGAACTTTAGAGAAAGCCACCATATTTTGTGTACGATGGTTGCAAACAATTATTACACGGTACATTATTACAGTGCCTTCGTGAGGCATATTGCACCATATTAAGGGTGTGTTGTTATACCATATTTAGAAATCATCATTACACCACATTCAGAATGTGTCATTGTATTGTATGCGAGGTATGTCGTTGCACTATATTTAGGGGCATTATTCCATTAGGTTGAGATGTATCATTGCACTATATTCAGGGCGTATTGTTACATCATATGTGAGACACATTATTACACCTATTTGAGGTGTGTTGTTACCCTATCTTGGAGGTTCATCATCGCACCGTATTTAAGGTATGTTGTTGCTCCATATGTGGGGTGTGTCATTCCACTATATTCGAGGTGTGTTGCTACATTGTATTTGGGGTGCATCATCACCCTGTATTGAGGGTGCATCATTGCATTATATGTGAGACACATTGCTGCACCATATTCGGTGTTTGCTGTTACACCAACTTTGGATGTGTCGTCGAACCATATTTGTGTTGCATCATTACAACATATGCAAGTTGTGTCGTCTAATTGTGTTTAGGGTGTATTGTCGTGTTGCCGACGGGTCATATAGGTGGTGATAGCTTTTCTCTGTTGGATCAATGGTCCATGAATTACAGTGCAATTGAACGGTTGAGGCCGAAGCCGCAGGATTTTCCTTCGGATGGCGGGATTCGTGCACCTCTGTGATCAAGGGGAGTTGGATTAGATGGTGGGGATTAGGCTGTGCAAGAAGGTATTGTAATCAATGGTTTGGAAATAGTGGTATGAATTTTTGACCAAATTTTTGGTCAACCCTCTATCCTTGAGCTTAATCTTAACTAAACCTTGGGATTGACCAAGTTGTTCTCTCTCGTGAGGTGGGGCCAACTTTCACCAATCTTATCTTTCTACAGATTTTGAATTAGCTAAAACCATTTAAACCATTAAACTTATTACATTCTTCTCTATTTTGACTAAAGTCAAATTTTTCATCACAACTCCCAACAACCATAATCACCTGATCAACCAATTTTGAACTTCAAATGACCATAACTTTGACTAAAAAACTCCAATTTTGAAACCTTTTATACCATTATAATCCTTATTTTGTCCTCTTCTATTTGGCATATTTTTCTTAATTTACTAATGTTCTATGTCGTTATAAAATTTTCAGCTATAATATTTGACTTAAATTACAAAAATGCCATTTTAAAAAATTAATTATTTTTATCCTTAACTTACACGTCAGTAATCCTAGTGCTTAAT